AAGGGGATCCGGTCCGGATCTCTCCCATCGAAAGCCTATGATCAAATGATCCGAACCGTTGAAATTTGATCCAACAGCTATAAACAGGGGGTGTCTCTAAAAGTTATAATAATTGTATTAGTTGGATCAAATTTCAACGATCCAGATCATTTGATATGAAGCCTTTGATGAGAGAGATCCGGACCGGATCCCCTTCCTATAAAGATATCATTAATTATACATAAATTAAATAAAGTATTTAGCTTAATTTTTTTAATTAATCATATATAGAAGGGACCCTAAATATCAATATGCCAATGGTAGACTCCACAAAATTTGCATATAAAAACTGCTGCTTTGTTTCTGCGTTTTTATTGTGGAATGATCAACAACTAAAATCTGTAAGTGGTGATGATGGAGATGGACCCTTAGCTGCTAGATCTAAACTCGAAAGTGATCAACTTTGCATTTAGTGAAAGAAAAAAATTATCATCAAATGTGGACTGTAGACAAAGATGTATATACATGATCATCATATTGCCTCAAAACTACGAGAGATTTTTAGAGTATTTGGAACATGACTAGTACGCCATATGTTATTATATAATTGGAAGGACATTTACCGTTCCATCTTACAAACTCCATATATACCTCATCATATTCTGAACACACTAAAAAATCTCTACAAAACTATATTGTCCTATAGTACGAAGGGGTATGTGTGGAGCCAAAAATAATCAAGAGGCGACACGTGGGTTTTTAGGTGAAGAGGACAAAATTACCCTCGAGACACACTGGGTTTCTTGCACGCTAGCAGTGGAGAATCATCCATCAACCGAGTCAAGAGTGCCCAAAATAGGTAACAAGTTCAAATTTATCTCATCCATCTTTACTCCATATACTCTACAAGGAAATCATTCCATAACCTTCAAAACCTTCCTTATAAATTAAATTAATTAGACTAATTAATGGATTAATTCCTAATTAATCCATTAATCACCCAATTAATCACCCATTAATTGCCAAATAACTCACACATTAAACCACAAAATGCACACAAAAAGCATCCCAAAGGCCGGCCACCTTTTCTCCAAAGGGGACTGGCCATGCCCTATAAATACTATCTATTTTTTCTCTAAAAACGGAGGTCTTCACTCTTGCTAAAATTCTCCAAAACTCTCAAACACTTTTCTCTCTAAATTCTAACTTTGGCATCGGAGGTTCTTCGGCCAAAGCGCCCTCCCCCCCCAAAAAAAATTTATCGTGGGTGCAGTGAGGCTCTTAGCCTTGACCTAAGGTATTATTTATTTTGTAGGTGCAATTTTGTTCAAGATTAAGGAGGAAGAAATTTGAATCACAGTATGCATGCATATACTTTTATTTACAACACGGGTGGTAAAATATCATGCATGTCTAATTAGTAATTATATGTTTACAATTTCTTCTAGCAAATTAAAAAGGAAAATAAAGATTTTCCAAATCATAGTTAAGTTCCCTTGTAATTACTGTACGTGCATGTTTGTCAGTCCTAGGTTTCAGATCATAGTTAGGTATCGATCCCTAACTTCAGGGATCGAAACATTATTGCCAAAATTCCAGACATCTTTGATATTCTTTTGGTTCTTTCGACAACCAAATTAAGGTTAATTCGTACGATAAAAAGGAGCAGTTTTAGGATTTTTGCTTATAAAGCTAAGGATCCTATGATTAACACAACTTAAAGATAGTAAATCATTTACGTAAAACAGCTGTACAAAAAGAGTAATGTTTGGTAGACTAATTTTTTACACTAAATTTGAGAATCATGTAATATGTCATTAATAATAAATAAGCGCGTTAATCAATACTTAAATAATAATTTAATCATCAACGATCACGCCATATAATTTACGAAATATGATCTAAATAATTAATCCCCCTAGCATTACCCATACACAAATTACGGGATACCACTTCCTAGTCCTAATACTAAAAGGAATTCAAGAGAAAAAGGGAAGGAGAATCGCCACGAATTTGTAGTATTTTTGTGTGTGTTAGGGTTTGCGATGGTAATGATGGTGATTTGAGAGTGTTTGAAAATGTGGGACAGACTCAGCATGTATATGTAAATGCTGCATGGCCCCTTCTTCTTCTTTTGCTTTTGTTGCCTGCCTGCCTGCTATGCCGATCTATGCTCTTTCACCCTCTCCCTTCCCTTCCCTTCCCTTCCCTCCTCCTTTAACTTTCTGCTCCTTCCATTTATTTGGCTTTTAATAAAATTCCTCACAAGCTCCCACGCTCAACCCACGACCAAATAATAATAATAACAACAATAACAATAATATTAATCTGAAAACCCTTTTAGTTATAGGCTCCTATCTGCCACTACTTAATTTACAACAACAATATTTAGTAAAACACATATATGTACTTCTACGATACGCATACTATACGTTTAAAGTATTTGACTAGTGAGTAACGCATACTATACGTTTAAAGTATTTGACTAATGAGTAAAGTAATATGATGCTATCTGTTATCTCCTTCAAAATGTGATGAAAAAGATTATCGTTACCAAATTTATCGAATCGAAAGTCGTTTGGGAGTTTAAACGTTATCGTGAACTATGAGAAATGTGAATGCACTGCGTCATGTTTCAAATTTCATCCGCAGTGCAGCACTACTTATTCGTGGACGGTGAGAGCCTGCCCGCCCAAAAAAATTAGATATCTTTGACTGCGTGAACCCAAAAGCAAAGATGAAGCCGTTTTGGTAATATATTTACATTTCTTTCACGCATGCATATAACGTTAGACAACAAAAAAAAAAGAGTAACATTATTAATTTTCAGAATCATCGACTGGCCAAAAAAGGAAGATCAAAATACCGGGGCGCCTAACGAAATTAAGTAGAAATCAATTTGAGTACGAGATTTAAACTCATCTAATAATGATAATTGAAAGGTAAGCATCACCATTACTTGAAGGTGGTGAGCAAAAATATTCAATAATTCTACAATTTAACAAGCTTACCAGCAGCATGTGCTCTACTCTTATATCCTTTTTTCTTTATCTCTTATAAATAAGTAAATTGTAGCAATGATCCCTTAACTTTAACTTAATTGGGGCAATGGTTTCTTAACTAAAATTTCATTACCATTGGTCCATCAACTCATCAAAACATGCAATTATGGTCCCTCAACTAAAAATTCATTATTATTAGTCCCTCAACTTTAATCGAACTAGAGAAAATGGTCCCTCAACTTTAACCAAATTGGAGCAATGGTTCCTCAACTTTAACCTAATTGTAGCAATGGTCCTTTCAACATAACTCATTTTGACAAAATTCTGATGAAGTTGACGAAAATGACAATAGCTACATGTTTTGATGAGTTGAGGGACCCCAATTGTAGTAATGGTCCTTCGAACATAACTTATTTTGACAAAATTCTGATGAAGTTGACGAAATGGTCTATAACTACACATTTTGATGAGTTGAGGGACCAATAGTATTGGATTTTTAGTTGAGGGACCATTGCTCCAATTTAATTAAAGTTAAGGGATCATTGATACAATTTACTCTTTATAAATCTAATGGTAGTCACTACATGATTTACAAATTCCGAGCAGGAGACAGACAATATTCAGTAAGGCAATCTGACTAGAGAATACTTAGTAGCAGCTTGACCAACGACTCTTGTAAAAAGAAGAAATTTTATTCAAACCAATATATTGTTCCAATGACTACCGAAAACGTGATGACGGTGTCACTGGCTACAAGAGATGGTCCCTCATAATAAAGGACGAGAGTTCATGTCACATCCCGGCCCGGGGCGCACCACTTCCCGGGCCTGCTCCACCACCGTAGCACGATATTGTCCGCTTTGGGCCCCGACCACGCCCTCACGGTTTTGTTTTTGGGAACTCACACGAGAACTTCCCGATGGGTCACCCATCCTGGGACTGCTCTCGTGCGCTACTTGCTTAACTTCGAAGTTCCCATGGAACCCGAAGCCAGTGAGCTCCCAAAAAGCCTCGTGCTAGGTAGGGATGGGAATATACATTTAAGGATCACCCCTGGGCGATGTGGGATGTCACAATCCACCCCCCTTAGGGGCCCGACGTCCTCGTCGGCACATACGCGACCAGGGTTAGGCTCTGATACCAAATTGTCACATCCCGCCCCGGGGCGCACCACTTCCCAGGCCCGCTCCACCACCGTAGCACGATATTGTCCGCTTTGGGCCCCGACCACGCCCTTACGGTTTTGTTTTTGGGAACTCACACGAGAACTTCCCGATGGGTCACCCATCCTGGGAGTGCTCTCGTGCGCTACTCGCTTAACTTCGGAGTTCCCATGGAACCCGAAGCCAGTGAGCTCCCAAAAGGCCTCGTGCTAGGTAGGGATGGGAATATACATTTAAGGATCACCCCTGGGCGATGTGGGATGTCACAGTTCATGCATTGTGAGTTGTGTCTACTTACGGCCTGATTGTATAGTCTCAAATACAGTGGAACCCCTTCCTTTGCGAGAAATGTCTAACCGTAAGACTACCCTGCTCCAGTGTCCTTCCACTGCTCTTTCTTGTTTCCACGTTTTTAAAGCTCTGTTCTTATTTTCGCCCCTTTACCCAACATTTTTCTCGTTTCGTGCTAAAGAAAAGAGAAACCCCACAAAGGATAACTTTAGTAAAACTCAATTGACAAAAACTCAACATTTATCATGAAAAGAACTTTGCTGTTGTCATGCAACTTAGGTCCAGTCTTTTATGAGCAAGTTCTCCTTATTATCAATTGCTAATTACAGATATATCTCGTGTGCCTCGTGATATTCCTTGTTCTTTCCTTTTCTTTCGGGCTAATGTCCTGTTGTGAACCAAAAGACAAATTAAGGCCTTTTTTTCCATAAAGCATGAATTTCTAGAAATTAAGAAATCAAACAACACACCATACTCGAGTACTAAGATTATAAGAATTAAACCGAATAACGATATCGTTTGTCAAAAAGATCAAAAGAATCACCACATGAGAGAACACAAAAAATACATAACTTCTTTCTTTTGATTAAACAAAATTACAAGAATTTCTAAAATGTATCAACTAATTATTACATACTTCACTATTCACTCGCCTGACTTTTACCCCACTTCTTATGTTCATGCTGTCAAACACCATCCTCACAAACCAAATCCAAACCCCGTATGTGCTACACTCGCCAAATACACCAAAACCAACGTCGCTGCGCTGCGTGGATTACACTATTTCAGATGATCAAAGCATGTGTCCTCACAGAAGGCCAGCGCTTCCAAATGGATTGCTAGTTTGCGGGTGAGGAGCAGGATTTGCAGGAAATGCCCCAAACCCAGTGGTATCACCGAAAGGATTTGTTGCGCCCATCATCACATTCGGCTGTGGCTGCTGGTAGGTTGGTTGGAAATGACCAAAGGGGTTGGACTGCTGTTGAGACATTGCCGCCATTTGAACTCCGGGAGGGGGAGCAACATGGTTTGAAAAAGCAAATGGGTCTTGGACCTCAAACGGATTTGGAGCTGGAGATCCATAAACAGGTTGCTGAGATGCCCTATATGCTCCTTCATCGTACAAGCTGTTCAGAGTGAGTGAGTCTAACCCACCAGCCTGAAATGAACCAGAAACATGTATCAATCAAATTACAAGCCACTATCAGAATGGCAAAAATTCTACAAGGTGAGGTATAACCGAAGCCCGGTGAGGAATAGTAAATGATAAAAAACTATAAATTTTAAAAAGCATGGTATGGGCCTACCAATTGTCTCTCATTCGGTGCTGAAATGTCGGTACTTGGAGTGGTGACCAAGGCAAGTTCCCATCCAGTAGGATCAAAACCATTTGTTTGGACTGCACTAGAATTGAATGTCGGAGCTGCATCTGCAAATAAAAGCGGGAGAGATTAAGAGTCATGGAAGTCATAAAATGCCAACTTATATAAATAAATAAAAAAACACGTACCAGCTTCAGATGTAATTATAGCTAGAGCTAAAGCATTTCTGTCCTCAATCGCAGATACATCAGCTGCACTATAATCCAATCCCTGAACCCACAAAAGAAGATTGGTTGGGGTGAAAAAAATAAACTGGAAATGATTGACACAATGAGAATTTGTAGAATAAAAAAAATAAAAACAGAGTGTAACTTTAACGAAGTCAGAACTGATAATCTACCAGTAAATCTCCAGTGGTCATGCTACTTTGAGGAGGTGGAGGTGGAGGTGGTGGCGACAGAGGAGCTTCTGTCTCAACATTAGACACAGGCACAATGTCTAAAGCTGGTGGCTCGGATTCATCACCAGACAATTTTGTATCTTCCGAAGGTTCTTCTGGTCTATATGTCAAAAGCTGTTCATAATGAGCAAATATAAATTATCTACACATGTATTTCCAAAATAAAATTCCAGTGGTAAAGAACTGAACTGATAAAACTCAAAACACTAAAAAATTTCCATAACAAAAAAAGAAAAAGAATAAATACCAACCAATGTCTCATTTGGAACAGTCACAGCCCGTGGTGCCTCTCTTATATACTCTTCCATTGTTACGAGGAACGATTGCGGAGGCTGAAAAGGTTAAAATACAGTAACTTAGCATTAGCTGAGAAAACTGCAAGAAAGGAACTTAAACAAATACATTGGAAACTTATAAGACCTCTCTCAAGAACGGAAACTGGAAGTTCCTAGCAAGTTCCAATCCTTTGCAAACGTCATAAAAATCAGAGAGACCTGCAGCCTGCAGTAAACTAGCAAGATATCTTTAACAGAGCAGCAAACATTAACTATTTGACCTTAGATCATCCGTAACTGATGCTGTAGTAACCAATGTTGCAGATGTTTACCTGCTGACCAGCTCGTTTATAAACATCAAGGGCTGTAACAGCTTCATGTCTTGGCATCTCAAAAAACTGCAACAAACTCAAATTTGAGAAACAAATAGCCATTGGTAACATAGTATTTGCTTATTATATATTATATTCACCTTATCAACAAGATTTATGATCCCATCATTGATGGAACAATAAATTTTAAAGCTCTCTTTCAATACCTGAAAATACAAACTCAAAAAGGTCAGATTTGAAATCAAAGATAGCCTTTGTCCATTGTTAAACTGGCTTTAATAGTTTTAGGATTAAAGCTTGCTTTCAGCACTTGAGACTCCGTTTATAATTTAAATACATTGTCATGTCTGAGAGAACAAAACAAAAATGGAGATGCAGGACATACCAGGGCCAGAGCATACTGTATAACGTAATTGCTGGAAGCTGCTCCTTCTGGCTGCAAAGTCAGAAAGCAAAATCAATCATTTAGCACAAATGTATAAAAATGGTTGTGCAATAAATTTACAGAGATATAATAATGTATCACGAAATGAATATTCAAACACGTTTGAGGGAAACAGATGAACCACAAGTTCCAAATATGTTACCCGGCAACCAATAAGACGATACAGAAGCTGCTGTAAGGCAGGCAACTGCTCCAACAACTCTTCACTATCCAGTTCTCGGGTTCTACTATATCCCTGTTAGTAGTTAAACACAGGAAAGAAAAGATTGTGAACCCTCATAGAATAATAACTTATTTTGTATGTAAAAAGAAAGCATCTTATCACCAAATCCTAACTAGTAAATTAGTAATGAACCATTAAGATTTGATACCTTCTCCTGCCCCTGGGCAGGCCTTGGAAGACGTTCAGCTTCAATGTCATACCTCAGAACCTTAAAGCATTCGAGTCGTTCCTCCAAAAACAATGCATAAGTACGCACCCATGCAGAGCAATCCCAAGCTGCAGAAGAGGAAAAGGAAAACAAAAGGAAACATTAGTTATCCTCAAGTTACAGATGTGTCTGTGTTTCTTCAATTTTGACTTCAAAATCAACGTCATAATTTCAATTACTTCAATTAATAGCTAATAATGAAAATTGACAAGCCAAAGACCAGAAAGAATTCAAGAGATTAAGGCATTTGCAATTCACCAATGGGGCTGGAATCGTCTTTGAAATTAGAAAGCTGGAGAATTCGTCCTCTCTGAGAGAAACTTAGAAGTTCTTCTCTGAAAGTAGGATCACCCTCCCTCAAGGTCCTATGGATAACTATCAATGTTTTCAAAGCTACCTGCCAATGAAAAACACAAATATAATACAAACCAAGTTTAACAGGAATCTAAACATATGTATACATATACATAAGCATATTAATCCATAAGACAATGATGATACATATACAGCCAAAAAGAAAACTATCATATAAGTGTTACATCGTCCCTTGTAAATTGGGACAACATTGAACCAGACCAGTAGAAGACCAATTATTTCACTTCAAAGTAGTTAAAAATACATAAACTTTGTTTGAGCATAAAAATAATCCTTTGCACAAAAAGATCAAAAAGCGGCATCTAGTGGAACAAATGGGAAAATGAAGAACCGGTAAAAGTGTAGGAGCCTAATGTCGCTATTTAACTGTATTGTCATTGAGTAACACAACAATACTATGTAGTGATTCACATAGGCACATCTACGCGGTTTACTAAAGCAACCAAGTATATTTCCAAGCAAACTCGAATAATATAGTATGGCATGGTAAACAACAATATTAAGCAAACCCCCGCTTTAAATTCAAAGGGAAATAAATACATTATTAAGTCTAATACAAGATCGAAATACATGGCATTGCAAATTTGCAATTGAAAGGGGAAGCACGGCATACCGTCCAATTATGGGTCTTGCTTAATCTTCTCGAAAGAGCATGAATGCAATAAGCAACATCCGCCCGTGGCCGAATTGACGATGTGGCAATCAGAATCTCTGCATCCAACAAAACACCCCCAAATGTAAAAATCACATCTTTGGATCAAAATCCAACCACCCATTTGTTAAAACGACGGATCTGAAAATTTAGAAACTGACTTCTGAGGTGTCTCTCTTTGGGCGGGCACTCGACGTGGTTGGTGGCTTTCACTATCGCAACATCCAAATCCTATTTTTAGAGAACAAACCCAAATCAAAAAATCAAAATCCAATCCCTTCGGATAACGAAAATCTTATCCTTTTTTTTTTTTTTTGGCTTCTAATTAATTAAATCAACGGAGATAAAAGAAAAGCGAAAGGAATTGGTACCGCGTAATCGCTATTGACGTGGGCAAGGCCGACTTTGGTGGAGTCTTTGAGAGCGCCGTAGGCTTTCCTCCACGTCTGAAGCGTCCCCATTTCTCTCCGCTTCTTCTTCTACTGTACCACCCCAATTCCTCTACCGCTCAGATCGCTCTCTCTCTCTCTCACCACCACTTTCTCTCTCTAGAATAAGACACAGTGACCTGGCTTGCAGACCTTGTTTCTCTCTCTTCTCTCTCTCTGGCTCCGATGGGTTGGAGGAAGAGAGAGGAAAGCGAAGGACTTTGAAGAAATTATGCGAAGAGAAAAGAAAAAGAAGAATTCAAGAGCGACAGGCTGCAAAGCAGAAACACTGGAACGGTGTCGTAGTGGATTCGATTTTCCGTTTTTATTCTTTCCTTTTTCTTGTTTTTTTTTGTTCTGAGGAGACGAGGGTATTGGCTTTTAATTTAATTATTATTTTTTGCTCGAAATTTAATTGTTATTTTTTGGTTGAAATTTATTTATGAAAGGGGATGGAGGAGGCGAGGGGAGGGAGAAACTTTTTAGCTTTTTAATGTGTCAAAAACACAATTTAGTATATTATTTAATAATATTTTATGTATCAAATTGTGTTTCTAACACATTAAAAAATCGATCAGGAAGAGGGCAGTTGGGTTTTGGAGGCCCCTGCTTTTGGAGTGCGTCATATCACACATAAAATATAGGGTTATATGATATTAGTGTCCCATATTCACCACCATTACAAGCAAGGGACGTATACTCCTTTGAATGATTTAATATAAGGAACTTTAATGAAAAGTGATTTTAACAAAAAATTATATTTTTATATTAAAAAGTCAATCGTGATACTATTTACTTTATCATTTATTTTGTCTTTATCGTTAAAACTCAAAATTTTCAAGCTATTTTCATTAGTTTTTCTTTTTAATATATTGTATTTATACTCTTTATTGACAAAAAAAAAAAAAAAAAAAGGAACTTTAACGAAAACCTCCCGGTACTGTTCACTTTAACGAAAAACCATATTTTTACACTAAAAAATCAATTCTCGTACTATTCATTTTACCCTTTATTTTGTCCTTAGTGTTAAAACTCAAAGTTTTCAAACCATTTTCATTAGTTTTCTAAAAAAATTTTGTTCTACCATTTTTTATTTTTATATAGTATGCTTTTGTATCTTCGATTTGTGATGATAGTTATGAACTAGGCTGATAGTTCAAATTGTTGTTCTTGTTGTCTTTGGTTACTTCGGCTGAATATAAATTATGTTAGATTTGATATAGTAAGTTTTTCAATCGTTTTTACTTTAACAGTAAATTTTTAATAAAAAATACAATGGCAAAAATTTAACGATTAAAACTCTCAACTATAAAAGATTAAAATCCTTTTGATTTTGCATAATTTAACAAGAAGGATGAGTTGTGGACTGATTTTGCATGTGAGCCAACTCACTAATTAAGAAATTTGTTGAAAATGTATATATTCATATACTGCACGTGCATCTTGTTTCCCTGTCACGTGCCAGCTTGGTTTGACAGATTTTTGGCTTGGGCTTTTTTTTCCAAAGATTCTGCATCCAGAAGTTTAGAACCGTTGAACAGAAAATTGTCCAGTGAACAAAAAATTTGACCAAGAAAGTCCGCCCACCAACAAATTGATTTTTATACCAATCATCCAATCCTTGGAGGATCCAAGGTCAAAGATGAAGAATTGTTAATAAATGTATTAGGTATACTTGTGTCCTCCGCTCTTACACTCAAGTTCGAATCTGTCATTTACATTGAAACTGTTTAGAATACTACATTGATACATAACCGAGTTCGAGTCTTGAAGATAGCATTTTTATAAAGTAAGAGTAAGACTATATATAATAGATGTTTCTCTCAACCCTCGCAAAACGGAAAACCTTGATAACTTGGGATCGCTATTTTTAAGTACAGAGCGGAGCTCCTACCAATCTACAAAGAGCAATTGTAATGGAAGTAGAATTTTACGTGACAAGTTTACATCATGAGGTCATCAAGAAGTGGAGAGTTTAGCTTGATGGCCCCAGAGGCCACTAACTTGATAACACTTTTGCCTGCAGCAGCAAACACACAAAGACCAAGCACATGTAAATTCATCAATGATTTACAAGATTGCAGGAAGCAGCAAATCGTGCACAAATCAACAAGCGATCCACATTGTACCAAACAGGACCTGAAATTTATCAATGGCGGGCGGGATTCATGAATTCAGGACGACCGATAGCGAAAGATGAAGAGGCGGTTTGAGGTGGTTATGAAGAGATAATGTGGTACCGAAGCTCTACTGGTTCTAAACTTGTAAGCGGAAACTCCTTTCAGTTTTATCGGTCACCCACTCTCACGGAGCTTTTTCTCCACCGGCCCTTCAAACTTGCTAGGGAAGTTCATCATAGACATGTCGGGACAGAAATAAACAGGGGGTAGTACAGAAGGAGAAAAATGATGTGCCAAAATGATTCCTTTTAACCACCAAATTTTTTGCATTCTGCTTGTACAGTAGCAGGGCAAGGAGCTTGATTACAATCAGATCATATACTACGGCATCAGCTGCCCCGGTACACATTTAAGTTCTCGACGGGAATTAAGCTCGCCCTTCAATTCAAGGGCAGACTTCATAGTATAAAGTTTGGTAAAAATGGAAAAATTATCTCGTGACTATAAGTTTTGGCACTGTCTCCTTATGTAGGTAGAGTCCTCAGCAAATGAAGTGCCCGATTCCACTGTGGTCTTTGTGATAGGACAATTCTCCTCAAAACGGGAACTGCTCCAGCAGCTATAATTGCTGGATGGTTCTCACTGTCCATGCTCAGATTATAAAGTATCGCCAAGCATGCTTCAACGGCACTCTCACTCCCTTGTTCAATCAGTTCGACCAACGGAAATATACCTCCTTGGGAAGCAATGGCTCGAGTGGAATCAACCACCCCTTCAGAGATTATTCTGTTGAGTTCCACAACTGCAGCTTCCTTTTCTTCTAGAAAAAATGAGCTTTTTAACTGCTCCATAAGTCTCGGAATGGTCTCGTGGAGAGTTACTTCCATGTTGATTGGGTCCTCAAAATCTAGTCTCGGACCAGAAAGAGAACCAAGTTTCACCAAACAAGCAGCAACCCAATCTTTGTTGTGAAGGGGGATATTAGACTTCAGGATATCACCGAGCAATTTGGTGAAATGCTCGGAATCTATTTTTTGGCAGAACTTCTTAGAGTCAAGCAGTTTTGTAAATAACCGGGATGCTGCTGATATGGCATGACCAGCTTCTTCAACTTCAAGGGCGTATTTTTCTGGCTGTTGATTATATACTTCTGATTCCGTGTCTGCTAAATACCACAGACCAAAAGTTAAATAAGTATCAAATCTGTGAACAAACACTATTATTACTTACCTTCCAAGCAGTTATACCATAAAGGAAAAGAATTTCCGGTACCTTCAAGAATCTTTTGCTGGAAAACATCATCTAAACCAGATTCAATATCCGCTGAAATGATGGTGTCCATGCTTGGGTCAATAACTGCGTAGAACTCGAGGATAGAAGCAGCTTTTGTTTGCAAACTCGGGGTTGGGGTCTTTAATGTCTCAACAAGGCGAGCAATAACCCCAGAGTCAAGCACATTTTCGCTATACAGACAGAAGTCAAAACTTTACTCGGTCTTTTTTTTAGAAGAACCAGATAATCATGCACTTAAAAAACAGTGAAGCTTAAACATTTGCATTTTGCGTGAAGCTATAGTAATACAAATTTTGCCTTTAACATATGATAAAATGGAGAAAAAAAAAACAATTTAAAGAATATAAAGGCAGTTAAGCATCATAATCAAGCACAGAAAAATAAGAAGGGGGGACTTCAAACCTGGTATTAGTTTTTGACATGGACATATTAGCTATATCTCCAGTCATTCCCGTGGAACCATAAGGACCCCTAGCTGCATCCGATCCCTTTTTTGATCCATTTCGTGGTCCATCATAAAACTGGAATGAAACAACATGCTTGGTGAGTCAATGGATAACCATAAGGTTTCAAATAGGTTATCAATAAACAATTGACCAACCTTTGACTTCATTTCTTTATTAGGATCTGAGATCCGGGCAAGAATATCCAACGCCTACATTACATCAATTATTCGCGTGATTAACTTAAACTAGAATCACTTCAAAGATATAGGGATTGACTAAAAATTATATGACGAATGACCTTTTCCATCAAGATGTCAGAGATCTGTGGCTGCTTTAAAAGATTAACCAAAGGATCTCTAACACCCTCAGCTTCAATTAACCGGCAAACAACATTGCTGCATCATTCAAAACAATAACTTTATCAGCTTGCAGAGGCTAAGTTAGTTGTCGCCTCATACAATTCCCCTGTTAATTTAGTTCTCAAAAGGATATGCATTTCATTCAAAACAAAAAGAACAAGAGACTTAAAAATAGCGAATGCTTAATTACCTGACAGACAACCTCTCTAGTGCTCGAACTGCCGCCAGTACAACGGCATTATTCTTACTGTCTAGAAGCTGTACTAAAAGCTTAACTGCCCCAGCTTCTCTGAAGGCTATCCGTATATGTTCATTGATAGATGCATCAGCAATTGCCTCTGCAGCTCTTGCTATTGCAGACTCGTCTTCAAGTCCAAGAATCAAAACCAATCTAGCCACACCATCTGTCCATGGCAAAAGTGTGACTTGTTTACCGGTGGTTAATTCAGACTGTTTTTTATCATCTTCCAGTTCAATGGCCCCAATACGAGCAAGAAACTGTTGCTGTGTCCGTCCAACAATCGCATTCATCTTGGCTTCCTCTATATTTGCCTTTTTTTCATCAACATGTAACCCAAGGAGTAATTCAGAAGCACCAAACCTGGACGGAGTTTTATAAGTCTGTTCAATCTCCACACCATCTGGTAAACTAGGCCATGAATACAAACCCGGCCTGAAGGACTTATAAGCAGCTGAACCAATGATGGGGACGGGAACCAGACCTTCCTCCACAACAAGAATTCTGTAGTACTCATCCTTACATAGTTCTAACAAAGCATTTCTTGCCTCCTTTCTAATTACTTTAGATCCTTCAACGTCAGTTCTTAAGAGCTTTGCCTGCATCATTAAAAAAGCGAATTAATCCATAAGTATCATATAATAAAAATCAATAGAAAAGGGGGATTCATAACTATGATATAGTGATTGAACTGCTTAATACTTTGTTTCACATGTGATGGATACAAGATAATCCCAAATCAACTACCACGTATCAAAAACCATTGAAAACGAAAACCAGTACACTTAACTAAAGCCATTTGATCCAACTTGAAACTAAATCTACTACAACAAAAAATGGAAGGGGAAGTCTCACCAATTTTGGTATAACACCTGCTTCAACCATAATGCTGTGACTAAAGTGACTTAATGACAAATTTGCCAACACCCCTCCGGCTGCTTCCTTCACCTTTACGTCCTCATCATCCACGGACTTAACAAGTAACGGCAAGACATCACTGTTTGCAATTTTCACTCTGAACTTCTCATCCACAGACAAGTTCCACAAAGTACATATAGCCTGTTCCTTCACCTGCAGAAATGTTACAACAACCTACGTCACTTTTCTACATCAAGAAAAATGTGGAAAGCAATTCCATGAGCGAGATACCCATCCTATACCTCAGGATTCAAAGACGGTCGATTTAGCAACCCGGTTATCTCTTCAATTGCTCCACTCTGTGCTACCACATCTCTATACAAATTAACAAGGGATATCGACCTTAAAAGGCCAGCAGCAGCTTCACACGCAGAACTGGACTCCGATCTCAGCAAGTTTACAATGAGGTTTATGCAGCCAGGAAACTGCATAATGGCTTCGCAATACTTCTTTCCTCCAAGTGAGTATTTCCAGAGTGCCACTATTGCCTCCTCTCTATCAAGGGAATCATTATCCAGCCCGAGCATCCGAATAAACAAGCCGACATACCCATCACCCAGAGAAGTACTCTTTATCTCTTTAGTGTCCTACAAATCAAGTGCGGCGAGAATCAGAATATCAAATTTCACATTTCATCCTCATGAAATATAAATTTTTGGGTTCTCATCCTCGTGAAATATAATCTTCTGGGTTGAATTGAATCCTCATGAAACATATTAACCACTAAAAAGATTAATTCTTGATAACAATGGAAGTATGGGGATGAAATCATGAAAACTTACAGTGGATGGTTTAAACTGTTGTGGGGTGGCATCCGCCGCACCGCCGCCGTCGCTATCACTGACCCTTGTGAGGAACTGGCGGGAAAAGCGTGATTGGAGGTTGAGGCATTGGAAACGGGTTGAATGGAAGAAGAGTGTTGGCCTTCTGTTTCTGGGTCTGGTGGGTTTAGCTGCAATGACTTCCATGTGGATATGGGTGTTTGAGATGGAGAGTGAGGATTGGAGGAGATGAGGCTGCTTCACCGTTAACGACGGTTGGGCTGCCGAGGCCAACATCTCTTGGTCCGATTGAGGCAGAAATTGGAAAGTTGCAGACTTGCAGAAAATTTCTCCTATTCAAGACTCAATCTTTTAGATTGGTTTGAGTTCTTGGGTTTTATGCTCGTTTCTTTTTTTTTTTTTTTTTTTTTTTGAGTACCCATTTATATTGGTAAATATCAGATGCTGGCTATCTACCCACCTTGTTCTTACCTCTACATAATTCTTGTTAAATTTTGTCATTTAATTATTTTTAATTTATTTAATTCGATAATCAGAAATTAAACTTTGACAGATAAAAATGAACTGGTATGAAAGCATCACCCCTTTAGTAACAATAAAATTTATCTCTTTGCATAAATGGTATTTAAATTGTAGTTAACAAAATTGAATGATTTTAATTATGTTGTAAGATAAAAATTCGTTAATCACGTGTCCGAACAAAATAAATACACTAGGCACAATTGAGTTTCACCCAATTATACTAGGCACGTGGCGATATTTGTTCATTATTTTAACTTTATTCGTCAAGAAACTCCATGCATTTTCTGCCATGAAACTCAAACCATAGGGATAAGGAAACAGAGAGACAGAGAAACAGAGCTCTAAAATGAGCTGCTCATTCAGCTTCCAAATCCCCCAGGCGCTGCCTTCTCTCGGCCGTTCCCGGCGTTCTTCTTCTCTCCCAATCGCCTCTCAACACAGACAGCCCAACAATGTCGATCCTCAAAAGGTACGAGCTTTCTTCCTTGGTTTCTAGTTTCCATTCAAAAATTTTATCAGATCATTAATGAAGATCCAAACTTTTGCTTTTTCAGACAGTCGGAAGCATCGGTCAAAACCCAATTGACTGTTCCCACCTGAAGAAATCGAACTTGGCAATTCAAGTTGGAGCAGTTTTGGCCACCGTAAGCCACTCATCATCTCTACGTCTAATCCTGCTTACCCTTTAAACTTAAACGGTTTTCAATCATAGAAGCGCTTTTTGGAGAAGCACTTTATAAGTAGATGCTTCTTCAAGAAGCATTCTCAGACTCCTCCGTGAAGCATTTGAATTTTTAATACAGATTTCAATATACTTCTAGTAAAAACACTTTCAGCATAAGCGCGTATGAGCAGAAGTTTTTTCTACATAAGCATTCCCAAACGAGTCTAATTAGTGATATTTTGGTGTTGAACTCATTCGGAACTATCTCAGCAGATTGAGCAGCCTGCATTTGCCGTCACCGGAATCAACTACGAGGAAGATTTGACATGGGTTTTAATACAGTCCGGAGTTGTTGCCTTCTGGTACTTCCTTATCATGCCGGTAAGTAATTCTTCTTCTCTTTGTACTTTTATTTTGTAACATGGAGCTTTTGAGAGAAGCACTTTCGTGTGATTGCAGCCAATCATCATGAACTGGCTTCGGATTAGGTGGTACAAGAGAAATCTCCTAGAGATGTACTTTCAGTTCATGTTTGTCTTCTTGTTCTTTCCTGGGTAAGTGACTTTTCCGTCATTTGGGTTTCTTCTTGATTCTCCTGAACTGCCACTCTAATTTGAGTATCTGATTTCCGCACACCCCTGTTTATCTCCAACCTTTCGATTAAATAAATCAAATGTGAATGAAGAGATATAAACATGAGCGTCCGAGTTCAAATTTTCTCTCCAACGTCGAGATTTCAAGTACAAAATGTTGTGATTCAGTTATTTTCTCCTATTGTGCAGAGTAATACTTTGGGCACCATTTCTGAACTTCAGGAAGTTCCCACGGGATCCATCCATGAAGTACCCTTGGTCGAAGCCAGACGATCCTGACCAAATAAAAGCTGGGTTTCTAAAGTACCCATTTGCAGAACCCGAAGAGTACTCGTAGAAAATACAGACGTATTTCCGTACGCTGCGACGGATGCAGTGGAACATGTACAATGTTATATCTCAATGACACATATTTGATACATATGAACTTAAATCCACAACTTTAATGAATGTAACGAAGAATCAAACCTTGAATTCAAATTCCTTTTCGAACAAAACACTAATCCGAGAATACATATTTGTATCCGTCTCAAAGTTCTCACGAACATATCGCTGGTAATTGTAGATGTTAGCGGTGAATAACTTAAAAAGGATCTAAATAAACATGAAAAGTTGCACCGAAAAAAAAAACTCAAACGAAATTAAACCTTGGAGCAAGTATTGACCTTCAACTACGTCTAGTTCTGTATCCCGTCGGGATACAAGTATAAATAGAGCTTCGTCTCTGTCGCCGCCTTATTCTGAAGTAAATCAGCCGAACTTTTCTTCATCATACTCAGTTTTGTAAGAGAAAATTTTAAGTCGGTACTTTGCACCGTCAGCTTCTAAACCTGCTTCGCTCATGCTGCTAAGATAGGATTTTCAGAACTGGAAATCACAGTTCATTCAAAGAAAGAGCTGATGGTCGCAGTTAGTTTCTTCAACTCCAACTCCCAAGATTCCATGTTCGGGGACATGACAGCAGCACCAACAGCCAAGGCTACAACAGCAACGGCCAGAGTCTTCTTGCACCCGCTACCCTGTGATAGCTTTCCCAATAATGTCTTACAATACTTGTCTGCTTCCTTGCTAAGCTTTTCTCGGTGTACATCCTCCGCCTCACCAGCCAATGCCTTCTTATTCTACAAGTAATAGTAGTATTCAAATAGTATAAAACAAGTTAATTAATACTTCGCGTATGACTAAATCATATAAGAAATTGTATACAAATATATACAATTAAAATTTAAGAAAATAAAAAGTAAAAAGTTACCTTGCGCATAAAACTTTTGAGAGCTTCCCTCATAGGATCAAGAGGAGAGAGGTTTGCAGAATGTTCCTTCCATTGGTTAGAAAGTTTCTTCAGAATAGCGACACTCACTTCTAAGTTTTCCTCGTAGACCTTGTCCTGTTATCATTTGACGCACAACACAGAAATCAGATTGTTAAATTCACTAATGGTGCTGTTTCAAACCCAAACATGAATGCAATGATGCTGAGGAGAAGCAGAATATCTCACCCACTGCTTGAAGCAATCAGCATGTTGGGTCAAACACCAAATGAAAATTCCAGTTGCTTCATTGGATAGCTCAGGTATACCTGCGTGAAACAGAATTATCTCAATCCCATTTTAAGAACCTACGATTTTTCCCTACTTAGGAAACAAAAACTACAATACAAAGGAAGACAAGAAATTTACGTACTTTCTCCTGCAGCTTTGACTGCAAAACTCATTATCTGCTGCGAAACTTGTTTCATTGCTTTGCTTCCAGGGGCGCCAGCTAGAGCGACCGCTTTTAGGGTTGGATATATAGCCTCGAACCTTTCGGTGGCCTGTAAAAAATATCATGCGTAAGTACAGTACAATGAAAATAATTTATATTAAGTGAATTTGCCCTCAATAGTAATTACCTTTACTCTAGCTGAATGTGCAGGAAAGGTAACTCCCATAAGTATCTCTAATGAAGAAGGTGGCACCAAACGCTCCCCCTTCCTAACAGCACTATTTACTAAAATAGTACGAGCCTTAGGCATAGACAGAATTCTGCAACCAAAGTAACAAATTTTAGAGTTGAAGAATGTAAAGGCAAGCGAAAATGTTTGAAGCAATAACCATCTTTTAATACCTCTCCACTAACTGCAAAACAAGATCCCGGGACTGTGGATTACTACTTTTTCCACAGACTAGAGGCAACACATTGCGGGCCCATGCATGCAACCCAACGGCGAGGTCCCCTTGACTAGCCTACACAAGACATTTTTGACATCGATTAACATTACTATAAGAGCTAATGTTTTTTTTTTCCATGAAGAAAGATCACTAAAACCGGTATTATATTGTTAACCACTTACCTGAACTATCATCCATATAATTACTGGAAGCTTATCTTGTCCTTGATACTTTGAATTTTCTCTCAGTGTTGGCAATATACTAATCAAGACATCGGGTTTTCTTCGCAATACCATTGCTACAACCACAAATATCGCAACCTGCGATTTCAACAAAATTCAAGTTTGCATCAGCAGTCGAAGAGTACATATTTGTGAAGGTGCAATTGCAAATTATACCTTAACATTAACAATGAATATCAAACATTTCCTGGACAAGTAAAACACGAAAGCAAGGAGAGGGGAATTACCTGAGATTTTGAAGACACATTCTGCACAGCCTTCTTGCCCTTTGTGCCAGAAACTTGGCTCGCTAGGTCTGCAAGAATGCTGTCTAAGGACCATAATATAAAAGACCCAAGGGCCTCAACAGAACGCTGGTTGATCCAGTCAATTGATGTCTTATAAACATCTTCAGAAATATGAGAAAGGGGGATCTGTTAAAAAAACACCACCAAGTGATTAGGTTGTCCAGGAGCATGCACACTCAAATTTGCTTCCACCTATAAGTTATTAAGCCCCGTAAAATGGAGGTCACAAGCAAGAGAATCCGTAGAACAAGATATGTTACTTGCCCTAATTATCCATCTCGCAAATATCATCCTTATCATCACAGTATGTATATTAGATTAGTGCATTCTTTCAACAAATTATAAATTATCCACCAACCTATTCGCCTTTGAGGCCATAAATACCACCTCTACCATTACCCGAAATAATACGCACAATTGTTTTCGGGAAGGAGCGGAGTTATATTCAGAAGGAAGTGTGCTGAAAATCGTTGCAACCATATGGAGAAGCCCCAAAAACAAGAGACAAACAGCTAATCTCAACCAAACATCCAACAAGATCAAAGAGGATCAAATTTGTTCAAATATATAACTAAGGAGAGAGAAGCTTTCCACGGATTTGTTCGAATATATATCTAAAGAAAAAAGCTTTCCGCAGATTTATTCGGATATATATCCAAAGAGGAAAGCTTTCGACGAAATTTTTGATATCATTAATATAAATGCCATTTAAAAATTGAACAGAAAAGAGCATAATGCACAATGGTAATGGTTTACATGCAATTCAACCCCGAATACAGATATTCGACCTATTAATCAATGCATCAGGTATTTAAATGAATAAATTTCAAAACTTACATCGGCAAGCTTGGCAACCGATGACTCCTTGAACATCTTCACCCATGGAAACTGAGAGGCAGACACCGCAGAGAATGCACGGCCGAAATAGTCCGCGAAACGCATCAACTGTATGTCCTCCTTCGACTCGTACGACGCCTATTGCAATTCAAAATCCCCAAATCAATTAAAACATTTAGAATTTTAAATCGAATTCAATTGAAAACGAATAGATCGAGCTAGATCAGAGCATAAAACTCACCGAAATGTCAATGAGGAATGCAGCGAGATCGTTCGCCTCGTCGATCTTAGCCGCCGCCTCGGCCAGCGTGACCTTAGGTTTCTTCGGCTTCTTAGGCTTGGATTTCTTCGCCTCCTCGGCCTTCACGTTCTGCGCCGCAGCTTCATCATCGCTATTATCCACATCCTCGTCGTCGGACCTGAGCTTCGATCTCGCCGGAGCAACATCGTCGAGGTCGACATTGGCCCTCTGAGCTTCGAGAATCCGCCGGCGCCGGTCCTCCGATTGTTTCTCCAGCGACCGGAAAACGCCGTTTCCGTTGGCGCTCGCGATGCCGGGGACAAGCTTGTTCTGATTGTTAATTACTTCGGCGTTCGATTCCTTCTTCTTCCTTGGGCGCTTCGCGGTGACCTTCTGCCAGCCGTGGTCGTTGTTGGCGTGGCTGTGATGGGTATTGTTGTAGTCGTTTGCGGCGGTGGATGCGGCGTCGAGGTGGTCCCCGTTGGCGATTGATTCGAAAGCTGCAGCGTGATTTTCTTCCATGATTTGGTTGTTGGTGTTGAATTTTCTCGGGAAAATTGAAAGAGAGAGACAGAGAAAGGAACCGGAACTGGCAAAATTGAGAGAGAGAGAGAGAGAGAGAGAGACGGAGAATGGAATCGAAGATTGGCTGGTGGGAGTGAATTTAATGGCGTTGACTGGATGAATCTGACCCTTGATTGATAATAAAATTACATCAAATACCAACCGTTTGGATTTGTAATCCGAATCTGAAAATAATTAGTAATTGATAAATCAATTAGTCCTAATCTTTTTTGTTGTCGGATAATTAGTCCTTATGCTTGTAGTGTAATTAATTAGATACGAGTGACAGACCGTCACGTGGCTAATTTGGAATACACAATTATCCAATTAACTGGAAATATGGGTCGGTATGTCATATTTGGTATTCCAAAATTGACCAATTTCTAAAATTTATTTAACTCATATTTTAATATCATAACACACCTCAAACACTCCATAATTCCTACAAATTGACAAAGATTATCAATTTGTCACATACTTCTTAAATGAGTGAAATACAAAACAATTAGTCCTTGGAGAGTTTGGAATCGAAACTGAAAATGAACTCAAAATTTGAGTGGTTAACCTCTCAAAAATAGGAATTCATTGTTTGCTCGGGTTATATTGATATCAAATGTTACAAATAACGCTCAGCTAAAGACTATTAATTTTTTTCTCCCATCAACTGTGTGACCCCTTACAAAAGGTTCACACCTCTTTACATAGGTTGTTCGTGAGTACATAGAGCCTTGGGCTCACCTAATCTTCCTTTTCTAACATTTAATGTGCCGCCTAAGTGAACTAGTATACTGATAACTTTTTTAACCGCTAGTCAACATTCAGCGATGAAGTGACATTTACTTAGTCGGGATGACATGTCCTTCTAAATAGATATGTGTTGAGCGACTTGTTCAGCCCTGATTAGTCAACGATATCACTCCGAGTAGCGGCCTGACCACTTTTATGTCCTGTCCTAGACTTTTGCTTTTAATTGGTGATTGACTTGTCGCCTAATTGGTGTATGGGTAGGCCTGCTTCTAAAGCCTTTTGCCATAAAGTTGTCAGTCTTTCCACATGTCTTTGGTTGTCAGAAAGTACTTTCTATTGCTCAATCGGACCAGGCTGGTGGTGGTTGGCTCTAGCCCTTGGATGTGCCTTCTTTGTAATTCCCCTGGGCCTTGGGCTTCTTATTATTTCTTGGGCTTTGACTTTTATTAACTCTTTTGAGGTCTCTTTCCCGGCCTGCTTAAGAGCCAAAATAGGTGGACCAGTTTATGGTTAGTCATAACCTTGCAATGCAACTCTTGATTACATTCGAGTAATCTTCCCCCTTTTTAGTTTGTTTTTTATTTACTAATTTTTGGACAAAATTTGTAAAATTGAAAGAAAAAGAAAGATTAGCAATTTTGATAGAGTAAAATGCATCAAGAACAAACACACAAACAACAAAGTGAAGGTTTTAACTTGAGTTTAAACTCTCACGAATTCATTATTTACCGTTGTTGATTATGTTTTATCGTACCATTTGATTCGGGAGAAGAAAAGTACATTACCGATTGTCGCCTGATGTGACACCACAACTACATAGCAAGAAGGATTAGTGAACTGTGCCGGAGACTGAGACAATTGTAAGCTTCAGTTGGAGACTTTGAGTTGCTATGCGACTTTGTTGTGTGCTATGTCGAAATTGGGGGTTTGATGTCGTTTTGTCCTCCTTTGTTGTCGTTTGTTCTATAGGCTGTGTGGATTGGGCCTCGTACCTGTGTGATGTTATATATTGCTGTCGGCCCGAAAGCAAAAGTAAAGAAAAATGAACTTCCATATTTACCCATTTGTCTTATCGACAATTGCAATCGTGTCATAACCTAGTGCAGCTGCAAGTCGCCGATCAGTCTTTCTGCAAACTCTCGCCGCCCCAACAGCTTTGCTCTGCCACTGACGCCCCTCCGTCCTCTCCCTGTCAGACTCCCGCCGCAGAAGCCCGCCGCTGAATTTGGGTCCTCCTCCTCAATCGTGTTAGCTCCTTTCCTGTACGGGGTAAGTTTCTCACTCGCATTATAATCCTTCTATTCCCTAACCTCGTCGATCTCGCGTTTCCTCCTCTCCTCAGCCAATCCCATCTGCAACGGAATCTAGCAGAGAGGCTGTAAAAAGACAGCCGTCGGATTGCTGTGCTTCGCGCCACTCCTTCTCTGCGCGTTTGGTTGCTGTGCTTCGTGGGGTGGAGCTCGTCGTGGCTTTCCACATGTTAGAGAGATCGACAAACGAGCAAGCCTCCGAAAGCCTCCGAAACCCATCATCATTTTGAATCCCTTCACCACCAAATCCCATTTTAACCAAACAAGAACCTCCAAAACCCCATCAGCTTTAATCCCTTCACTCCCTAATCCCGTCATTGGCTAATCCCTTGGTGCCACCAAATTCCTTATCGAAACGAATCCTTAGGAATTAGGATTAGGGTTTAGGGTTTAGGGAAAAGCTTAGCTGAACTAAGCCAAATTGTTGCATTAGTTATTCCATCTGAGCTAGAATTTGTTTGTTTTTTCGCCCCAGCGGTGTGAATACGAAACTATAGCTGCGTGTTAGTAAGTGATAGAATTGTATCAAGAGAGTTCCAAATGTGATTTTTACGAATTTAATTACTGTCTGTTGACCTGCTTGCGTTTTTATGCGTCCCAAAGTGAATTCAGTTCATGATTGATGTTGTACTTCTCTATAACGTATAAATTTTGTGTGCGTTTATTTTTTATAGGTGATGGTATTTAGGGGATATGTTTTACTTTCTCAGCTGTTTGGAGGTGGGAATTTTGTTTTTTATTGTATGCTGAGCTGACCTTCAATCTCAATGACCTGAAACTTACACAACAGGTTATCGAGATGCCTCGGAAGCCGGCAAGGCATTGCAGGTATCAGCCTCTGACGTTTTCCCCATTTGCTCGTCACATTGCTCACGTTGCCTCCAGCTTCATTGACAACCACCGAAGGCACGGCACAGACCTCCCTGAAAATACACCGCCTAATTCCACAGGTATTACTAGGCATCACTTTATAATTAACCCTCCTATGTGTTAAATGCTTCGGAATGTACATACCTATCTCTCCTGTCATGCGTTTCAGGTAATGGTTGGATAAAGAAACCTTCGGAAATCAAGAAAGAACAGTCCACATCTTCTGATGAAGAAGAGTTTGATGTGAGCAAATTCTTCTTGTACTAATTTTCCATGTTAATGGATGGGGAATTCTCATAGCGCCCATTATTCATACTGTATTTGAATACCAGAATAACTGAGATACAAAAGTGATTTCTCATTCATATCGTATCTATTAGTATTTTTATGAGAATTTGGTTCTTATCTTTGAAGGGAACTGTCCAAGCAGATTTTGCTTTCTTTGATCCAAAACCTGACGACTTTCATGGAGTGAAGACGTTGCTTCAGACATACCTTGATGATAAAGAATGGGATTTGAGTGGTTTTGCAGACTTAATTTTGGAACAGACCACTGTAGGAACTGTTGTTAAAATAGAGGATGATGAAGATAATGGAATTTTCGCTCTTGCTACTGCCCTTAACTTGGAAAGATACAAGGCAAGTGATCTATACTCTTATTTAAGTAATTCAACTGGCTACATTATTCTGCCATTTATCCCTAGATTGGCATGTTCTTAGCTTTACATAGCTTTTTTCCTACTATTTTTATCTTTTACAAGTGACAGTTTATATTGTTGCTCATCCTTTTCCTACTATTTGGATCCTTGAGTGTGTTTATTTGATTCCTATTAGGGCCATAAATGTATTACGGAGGTTAAGGAGTTTCTCCTTAAAGTATGTCAAGAGAAGGATGTGAAAGATGACCTGAGATCACTTTTGGGAAAGGAATCAAAGAGTGTGGGTCTTTTGGTCTCCCAACGGGTGACAAATTTACCTCCACAGCTCTTGCCACCTCTTTATGATGCGCTCTTTGATGAAGTCTCTTGGGCTACAGAAGATGAGGTTAGATTCGATGATATGGGACTGATGAGCTTATGTCTGTTTTCATACATGCTCGGAACAAATTCTTCTACTTAACTAACATTTTTTTGTTTCACCTTTTGTAGCCAACAGAGGAGCTCCAGAATTTCTTTCGTTTTAAGGTTTACATAATAGTCAGTAAAGTCTACAAGGTATGCCATTTAAGCTGAGCTCTCTCTCTCTCTCTCTCTCTCTCTCTCTCCATCTATTTATTTCGTTTCTGGATGCAAAAATACAGCTAAGAACTGCACACCAGAAAAAGGGCGTGAGTGTCAGTGAAGAGGCAATAATATATATAAAGCCAGAAGATGAAATTTTCACGAGGTACTGATCATTTGACATAAGCAATGTTCCATGTTCCTTGCAGTTTCATTCACTAATTGTTTCTTAAATGCATTTCAGCTGAGCACCTGGTCCTTCGAGTTTCCTTTGCACACTGAGCAGCCAACTCTTGAGGCAAGTAGTAGTATTGGCAACCTGTTCTGATTTTTTAATATATCCTGAAGTTACTATATGATATGTCAACAAGGATTGAGAAAAAAAAAAAAAAAAAAAAAAACCTTGGAGTTTTACCTGGACCATTGCTATTAAGTCCACATCCCACACTTCTCTCAAATAGGTCCTAGCATTTTCACGACACCTAAACCAAAGTACCTTGCTGAAGACATTCAACTATCACAGATATGTCTAACTTTTGGTGATGCAATTAAGGTTGATTGTGTGGTTGCATGTACAGCTTAATCGTTGTGATATTGTCGTCTTAATGACAATCTAACCATTTCTGTATATTTTTCCTTTTTAACCATGCAGCTAAGAAACTATCAGCAAATGGGACTAGTCATGACTGTTAAAGCAGACCAGATCCCAACGTTCCGACAACAGATAAAATCTCTAGTAGATGAATCATGATTCTAATTGAAAGGTTTAGCAAATTCTTTAATTAAGTGCCTTATTTATCATCTCTAAACTCGTCCTTAATGGATGCCATCGTTCCTGAGATCATCCTAACTGCATTATCTCATTGCAGGTGTTGCAGGTGCCAAATTTTGACGTCTTTCTGGCCGGAGCCTGAGACGGTCCCTT